TTGACCAAAAATATCCTGTTTGTAGAGTTAAACAACAAAGACTCAGCATCCTTATCAACTTTCAGAGGTTCAACTAGAACCAAATGACTGATCAGTTAGTCCGGACATGCTGATCCTGATTCTTGCCAGAAAGATGGGGAAAACATTGACCATTATCTGGAATCAATTTTGGAGGGAAATGATGAAATGCCTAACGACATCCTGATCAATTCCTAGCTCAGCTTAGTTTAAAGTAACTTAAGCATTTCATCAAGTTGAAAGATTATTCCTAAATCTGCAGATAAACAGAATAGTTGTGTCAGTACCAAAAGACAAGAGAGGAGGGAAGGAAGAACAAACCATTTCTTTTGGGTTCAAAAGATAGCTTATATTACTAGTAAATTTTAATATGCATTGGTACAAAATAGAAAAATCAGACAAATATTGAAATGTTACCAATCTTTCAACATATTGCTCCTTCTAAAGCACCAGAAAACATCCAAAGGTTCAGTGTTGGATCAAATTCAGAGAAATCAGGTGATTAAACCGAGCTTATTAAGTGCCCAAGCATTGATTTTGGTGTCCCTTTAGATGCTAGGTCTGAAGAATCAGATCAAACTCCACTTCTTTAGCCTGAGAAGACACTAAGAAGCTTATTGTTAGGCTCCCGTGCTAAGCTCTCAAACTCAACAATGAGAGAAGAATATGGCGGAAACTTGTTAAACTACGAGGCTGTGGCAGTTGAAGATAAGACTATGATGGAATTAAGTGATTCTGAGATTTCAAACTGGAGGAGATCATGGTGATTCTAAATCAGAGACAGACTCAAAGACTTTAGCGCCAAAGGAACTGTCTCTAACTTCACCAAAAGGAAGTCCTAGATCATCCTTTTTCAGCATTTGCATTTGCTGCACAACAACAATTCTGTTATTTGTGGCTTGAATTATTTTCTTGTATTTTTAGGAAACTCATAGTCCCTATAGGTTTAGGAAAACTCATTGTCCTAATAGATTTGGGAAAGGAAAACCTATAGTCCTTGTCAAATTGGGAAACCTTTCTCATATATGTTTGGGACCTTTTGGGATCTATATATAGGGGTTGTAGTTGGGGATTCTATAGATTGTATTGTGCTTTTTTTCTCATTCATAGTGGAAAACTCTCTCTTCTTTTGCCCCGAGGATTAGGCTTAGTCGAACCTCGTTAAATCCTTGTGTTGATTTTTCTTCTCTATTTGCTTTATGTGAGATTGTGTGCTAGTTAACCCACGATATTCTGCAATAATTGGTATCAGAGCAAGGTTCGGGTTTCTACACATAATTTAGGGTTAAGATGTCTTCATCATCTTCAACAAAGTACGAAGTAGAGAAATTTGACGGAGGATCTAGTTTCAGTCTATGGAAGATTAGGATGAAATTGTCCTTAGTGTTACAAGGATTATGGAAAGCAATTGATGAGGATTTTCCTGAAGATATGAAAGAGACAAAGAAGGAAGACCTGAAGGAGAGGGCTTTAAGTGCGATCTTCATGAGCGTTACAGATAGCGTTCTTCGGGAAATTGCTGAAGAAACTTCTGCAGCAACGGCATGGAAGAAGCTGGAAGATCTGTATTCTAAGAAATCGCTGACAAACCGCCTATACTTAAAAAAGAGGTTATACAATCTCCGTATGAATGAAGGTACACTTGTTAAAACTTACCTTGATGAGTTTAATTCAATTATATTGGACCTAAAGAATGTGGATATCGAAATTGAGAGTGAGGATCAGGCTTTGATTGTGTTATATTCTTTACCACAGTCTTATGATACTTTTGCCGATACACTGCTATATGGAAAAGATAGCATTTCACTAGAAGATGTTAGTAATGCACTAAAATCTAAAGAGTTGAAAAAGAGCTTTCCAGACAATAGAATTGAGGGCGAGGGTCTTGTAATTAGAGGAAGAACACAACAAAAGGACTTTAACAGGAAAAAGTCAACCACAAGATCAAAGTCTAGAGCAAGGAAGCAAAACTGTTATGAGTGCGGGGAGCAATATCACTACAAGAGAGATTGTCCTAAGCTAAAAGAGAAAAGAGGGAAGCAAAAAATAGATAATTCGGCAAATATTGTTGACACTGGCAATAATTCTGATGATAGTGATTATGTAGGGAAGTTTGTGCTGTGAGTTCTAGTCATGGGCAAAATTCTTGGGTTCTTGATTCTGGTGCTACTTTCCACATGTGTCCACATAAGAATTGGTTTGTAACTTACAAACAAATGAGTGCGACTGTCTATATGGGAGATGATAATCCATTACCAGTAGAGGGGGTTGGTAATATCAAATTGAGAATGTTCGACGGAATTATCAAAAACATTGAGTGTTGGCATGTTCCTCGGATAAAGAGAAATTTGATTTCTCTTTCGACTTTGGATGATCAAGGATATAAATTTCACTTTGAGAATGGAATACTTAAAGTATGTAAAGGCTCCATGGTACTCATGAAGGGTAAACTACATTCTAAATTATATCATCTTCAGGCCAGTGTAGTTGAAGGGGAAGCTGCTGTAGCTTCTGGAAAAAGTGATCTGAATCAGTTTCAGTTGTGGCACTTGCGACTTGGCCATATGAGTGATAATGGATTGTCTTTGTTGAGTAAGCATAATTTGCTGAATGGGGTACAAAAATCAAGTTTTGAATTTTTGTGAGCATTTAATGTTTGGTAAACAGACAAGGGTAAAGTTCATCAAGAAGGCCGAGCACAAGACCAGAGACAAGTTAGATTATATACACTCTGACTTGTGGGGTCCAAACAGAGTTCCCTCCAAGAGTGGTGCCAGGTATTTTATGACTTTGATTGATGATTACTCAAGGATGGTGTGGGTGTATTTTTTGAAAACAAAAGATGAGGCATTTTCGACATTTGTTAAATGGAAGACGATGGTTGAGAGGCAGACGGAAAGAAAAGTTAAGCGTCTTCGAACTGACAATGGGTTGGAATTTTGCAATTGTGAATTCGATAATTTCTGCAGCAGGGAGGGCATAGTGAGACACCGCACTTGTGTCGGAACACCACAACAAAATGGTGTTGCAGAACGTATGAATAAAACGCTTTGTGATAGTTCACGAAGTATGCTTTCACACTCATGTGTTAGCAAAGATTTTTGGGCTGAAGCAATCAATACAGCTTGTTATTTGGTCAATAGATCTCCATCCACAGCTATTGAGTTCAAAACTCCTTTTGAGGTATGGTCCGGTTCGTCTGCTGATTATTCAAATTTGAGGAAATTTGGTTGTCCTGCTTATGCTCATGTGAGGGATGGAAAACTTGAGCCGAGGGCAAAAAAGTGCATATTTCTAGGGTATGCAACTGGAGTGAAATGTTATAGGTTGTGGTGCACAGATCAAAAGACTCCAGGGCTAATTATCAGTAGGGATATAAGATTCAATAAATCTGCCTCACTGGACAGTCAGAGGGAGAAGGCAATAGCAGAAACAGATCGTGGTGTCAGTGACCGCATAAAGCTAGAAATTTAATCTCTACTAGCTCAGCCTAGTAGTTCTAAAGTAGAGGAAGTGGAGGAGGTGCAAAATATTGATCAAGATGATAATGTTGATGCACCTGCGCAACAACAACCATATAGCATTGCAATAGGCAGAGAGAAGAGAGTGATCAACCGACCACAAAGGTTTGCAAATGTAGTTGATGAGAATCTTCTTGGATATACGAATCCAGTGGGATTTGCTTTGGCAGTTGCAGAGACCGTTGATGCGTCTGAGTGTTATAGCTATCTAGAAGTTATTCCGAGTATAGAACCAAATCGACGGATTAGTGCTATGGCTAAAGAGATTGAGTCTCTTGACAAATTTAGGTGTTGCCTAGAATTGGTTGATGTATGCGAAAATGGATAGAGCCCTTGCGAGGGCTGAGGGCAAGGTAGAGAGACGTTGTTCCTGTTGATGAAGAGAATTCAAGACAAGGGGAAGATTTGTTATTTGTGGCTTGAATTATTTCCTTGTATTTTTAGGAAACCCATAGTCCCTATAGGTTTAGGAAAACTCATTGTCCTAATAGATTTGGGAAAGGAAAACCTATAGTCCTTGTCAAATTGGGAAACATTTCTCATATATATTTGGGACCTTTTGAGATCTATATATAGGGGTTGTAGTTGGGGATTATATAGATTGTATTGTGTTTTTCTTCTCATTCATAGTGGAAAACTCTCTCTTCTTTTGCCCCGAGGATTAGGCTTAGCCGAACCTCGTTAAATACTTGTGTTGATTTTTCTTCTCTATTTGCTTTGTATGAGATTGTGTGCTAGTTAAACCACGATATTCCGCAACAAATTCATTGAGTTAAACAACATATATTTGTTTTCTATCGTTTGACATGGTTTGCTTTTTCATCCTATTAATATTTTTCCATGCGTGGAGCATTAGAATCATGTATAAGTCTGCAAGATATTGAAGATTTGGTAAGAATGGAGGTGTCTATCTGTGTGTGTGAGAGAGAGCGCGCTACGATTAATATTTGAGTGATGACTGCTATAACTAAATATAGCCAATAGATGTAGAATATATATATATATATATATATAATCGTGTATAATTTATATATATCGATTAGAAAAAGTAAAGAATAAATATGATTTGCGTAGAGATACCTTTATTCATCCAACGGACAATCAAGTATTAGCATTTGAGATTGATCATCAAAGAAAGAAATGATGTTATATGCAAGCATCTATAAATGAGTTCCAGGCGGAATGCACTAGGAGATGCAGAAACTTAGTACTCCAAATTATTTTTCCAACAAAAAGTTCCATTTCTACTAAAATTGAAAGAATTACAAATTTAAAAAAAAAAAAAAAAAAAAAGAGTACAATTTCAGAGACTAATAATCAAATCATCCTACAATTTCTTGGTTGGTATGTTGACGAGTTAACAAAAATTAAATAAATGATAAAAGAACAATAATAAGGCCATCTGAAAAGAATAAAGAAAGAAATTATGAATTTTAATTAATGTTTTTGCGCTTCTAAGTTCTATCCGACGTTAATCATCATTTTCACAAATTCATCAAAGTTGACTTGACCATCACCATCCAAATCTGCTTCTTTAATCATCTGCTCGACCTCTTCATCTGTTAGTTTCTCCCCTAAATTGATCATTACATGCCTCAGCTGCATAGGATCAAACACAAATTTCAATTCAATATCTTGTTATAATTTCCTGTATTTAAACCAGAAAATTAACTTAATTATACTAAAAAAGAAAGTCAAACGAGCCAGTGCATTGCTCGGTGTGAACTATGGAAAAATTCATTGGACGAAAAGGACATGTTTGAAACAACTGTATAATTAAGAATATTTTATTATAATGACAGATCAATTCACGTGTCAATCCCTTAGCAGCCAGGGGTTAACTAAATTCCTTCCACTAAACCCTATTAGTTGTGATAAGAATGAATTTATTTTTAATATATCCATTGAGTATATGTAGTTCTTTTTTATTTGAAAAGAACGTTTTCTTGTTGTGGTCCTCGTCAACAATATGAGTACCGGCCGTACACGATTGACTAGAAACAGATCTAGTGATTATATAAGAGTATTTGATATAGATTAGAACATGGATATTTTACAGCATATTAGAAGAAAATAGCATAACATGATAATTGAATTTATTCAAAACAACAATCAAGTTACGATAAAAAAAAGGTTTTTGGCTAATTTCCTTTTCCTACTATTTATTCTTTTGGAATGTAATTTTACATTAGACAAGCTTTTTTAATATGGTGCGTGATTCAACAAGCGATTCAAATGATAACAAGTTTGTGGTTTGTTCACCAAAAGTAAATCTAGAAAGAATGTGATTTATATTACCTACATTTTGATTTTCTAAATAGGTATACATATATAGTTCGAGCTGAAAAGCAGTAAATTTATACGTAAATTTATAGAACTCGACATAGAATTATAATTGCGACGAATAAAATCATACTTAAAATAGTTGATTTATTTGGAAAAAAGAGTGACCTCGTTAGCAGATATATAACCATTTTGATCTTTGTCGAACACCTTGAAAGCCTCTTTAAGTTCTTCCTCAGCATCAGTGTCCTGTTTATGAAAATAAGAAAAGCGTTAATAGCCCTTAATCAGAGCCTTGTTTACTAAAAAGGTGGCATATGTTTTACTCATGCATATGTATAACAAAGATAAATTTGTTCAAGTCCAAAAATAAGCTGCAAATTAAAGAGCTATTAGCTCGACATATATATTCATAGGGAGGGAGGGAGAATCAAAATTTAAAACACCTCATATTGTTTTGTTAAATTTTACCTTCATTTTCTTGGCCATAAGGTTCAGGAATTCAGTGAATTCAATGGTTCCATTCCCATCTGAATCAACTTCAGTGATCATATCCTGCAGCTCTTCCTTTGTTGGATTTTGATCTAGTGACCTTATTACTGTCGCTAATTCTTCGACTGTAATGCAACCTGTTACATGGAATTCATTGAAAGACCACAATGTCAAAGTTAGAAACAACTTACTAAAGGAAAAATTAAGAGACTAGCTACTAATTACCATCTCCATCTCTGTCAAATAGACTGAAAGCTTCTTGCAATTCAACAATTTGTTCTTGGTTCAATATATCTCCCATGATATTTTGGACTTTTTAGTACCTCGAAATTAAAGGACAGAGAAAGAACAGCTTGAAAGAGAGTAGAAAATGGGAGAAAAGAAAGTTGCGTATAGCTCAATCCTCGCTGGGCTTTATGTAGAGAAGTTATGTAATACTATGTCAAGAGGGGACTTACGTATAAATGCATCCCATTTTCTTTTCAAGCTCCCCAAAAATATGGAAACGCATATTGAATTCAAAAGAAAATTAGGGAAGTAGAGACAACAATCTAGGGTGTGAGTGTGACGTACGTGAGAAAAGTATTACTTAGTATAAATATATAATTAAACACATATCTAGGAAAAATTACGCCAATCTTGTACTAGTAATGGAGTAGTATTTTAAAGAATATAGTACTACTCATTTTGAACTAATAATAAGTCTCTCTTAACAAGATTTAGACAAAATTAATTAGCAGAGTCAAAAATGAAGTTAGTCGTGGATTAGGTGTTGTAGTCATGACTCATGACTTTGTCACTTCCCATCTCAGAGCATGACCAAATTAAACCATAAAACGATTCGGCAATCTGCATTTTCTGCTGCTATTAATTTCTTGGATATTCCACCTCTTTTCGGTGCACAAAATTATTTCCTTTTTTTTTATAAATTCAAAAGATAAAGAAAAATAATACTTACTCATACTAAGTAAATAAATATAAACAGCTGGAGTGTTAGATGAGTAGGGGACAGAGGGCATTGAAAGAGAAGACTGGAGAAGGCATGGGGAGGTGTGTACTGTTGTACTTCGACTAAAACTTAATTCAATATGGAGTATTGTTTTGTTTTGTTTTTCTTTTCCACCAAATATTGATCCACTCAATGAGAACATTGGCATTGCTTGCAAAATTTTATTTTTTGAGCTTGCAACATTTTAATTTTGAGTTTCTATAAAAGTATTTATTTAAAAATAACTTATTCTTTCCACATATGTAAAGTTACTTGAGATTCAAAGTGCATTAGAAAAATATTTTTGTAAGGAAACTAGGGCCACTATAACCATTAGCGATGCCTAATTTGCTAATTTAGTTACGTAGGGTAGGGACAAACAATTAGTCAAAGTATCCAGCTGGATATTCTTGTACACAACTCTCAAGGTAATTGGTGGCCAACCAGTTACTGTCTCACCCTATTGAAAATGAATCAATATATTTATGCAACACGATTAAGGCGACATCTTATTTTTAGCAAGCATAACTGCATGCTCTACCTGTAAAATAATTTTAGTAAATAAAAAACGGCATGCTCTACTTGCTATGTATCATTCACAATTGAATACCTGCTTTTCTAGCAATTTTGTGAAGTTTTGGGACTTGAATATTGATGTTGAAATATGTTTTGTAGCAATTTTGTGAAGTTTTGGGACTTGAATGTTGCTGAAATAAATACTACTAAGTCTTCGTGATGATCAATTGATCAAATGGTCGTATTCATAATAGTAGACCTCAAAAGGGCACGTCTTTTTGAAAACATATGTCCTTTCATGAAAACGTGTTATTTGGAGAAATGCAACTTTTCATAAAGTATGTGTCTTATTCCTTCACAAAAATACAATAACTAATGTCTTTGTTGACCTTTGAATAGAAAGACTTAAGGATCGTTTGGTAGGGTATATAACAATAGTAATAATAGGGTGTATTAGTGATGACGGGATTAGTATACCGTTGGAATTAGCTATGCTGAGATTAGTTAGGTTGAAAATATATGATTATCCATGAATTAAACCATGATATAGTTAATTTTATGGTTTGCTATGTATAGGAATAGTATTGAATAGGAAATATAACTATATAGGTTGGAAAAAGAATACTACCAAAGGATTAATAATATCAAAGCTAATATATGTATTATTTTTCCTAATACAGCCTACCAAATCACGGCTAACAGAGCATTCATAATATGTGATGTGTAGTAAACTCACTTCACAAATACTGAAGTGTGAAGTGAATCCCATAGCTAATAATAAGAACCGATTTTTGCGCTAAATGTAAAATTTATAAGATTTCTTTGTATCAAGAGAGAATACATGCTGTTAAACCGTTAGCAAACTTGGAGTTTCTGGCAAAAGTTATCCTTAAATTATAGGTCAAAGCAAGGGGTACATCCTTGTCTTATCCTAGTAAACAAAAACCATCCTTATACTATTTAAAAAGTTGCAAGAATCATCCTTCCGTTAAATTTTATCACAAAAACTAACATCATCATCAAAATACCATGTCCATCACATGCCTTTTCCCATCAAATTTCCAATATTGTCCCTCCTACCCAATCGTCTTCCACCTTTGCCAAAAAGGACTAAGACTTCAAAACTAGAAGTTTCTTTCCATATGAACTTCACACCCAACTATGGTATGATAGTTGGAACTCTCCGATCTCATGCTATACTATTTCTTGCTACCTTCCTTTTGGAGAGGAAAGTGCAAAGCCTTTAAAAATAGTGGAAGAGTTTTGACTTTCTAAGCAGCATCATGTATTTCAATGCACGTACGGTAGATTTTTGATATTCTATCTTTAATTTGAGGTGATGATGCAAGGTTTGTTTTTAAAATGTGACTCCAACTTCGGTTTAGCTCAACTATTGTGAAACCACTCACTCCGACAAATGGAAGAGAACTAATCTAGTTTCTGACTTTCAGGTTCTTGATTTAGAGCTAGAACCTTTTAATTTTTCTCATTTATAGGTAGACTAATAAAACTGACACAAAGAGAATCGGCACCCTCATCAAAGCTCGGCACAAATATAAGATTTTACATGATCATAATGCACTTCCATCTCAAGGTCGTGCCAATCTCTTGTTATCATCTGCTTGTTATAAGAAGACAACTTAAGGAGAAGTTATTTCAGTGTAGGCCATTTTTGTTCATTAAATAGCAGCAACTTTAAAGAAGAAATAAGCAGCACCTAGTTCATCCTGCTAGTTTTCTTGAAGAAGAAGAAGAAGAAAGGGAGGAAACAAAAATTAAGAAGGAAAAAGAAGACGGTCAACATGTTCTTGGAAAAGTCGATTGGGCAGGAGGGACAATATTGGAAAATTGAGGGGAAAAGGCACGTGATGGACATGGTCTTTTGACGAAGCTGTTAGTTTTTGTGATAAAATTTAATGGAAGGATGATTCTTGCAACTTTTTAAATAGTATAAGGATGGTTTTTGTTTACTAGGATAAGACAAGGATGTGCCCTTGGTTTGAGCCATAGTTTAAGGATGATTTTTGCCAAAAACTCGCAAACTTGTGAACCTTTAAGTTACTCCAAGTTTTACCAATATAAATTAAAAGTTTCAAATAAATAAGCGTATCTTGGACAATCGAATTCTCTTGTGTCGCCTAAATAACTAATTAATATTGTTTGACCAAAAAGTGTTGAGCTTTTAGTTAAACTAATTAATAAGAAGACTTTGGGCAAATCTTAACCAACAATAATTTATTCTAGATCTAAGATAGATGATGAGAGTAAGCAAACATAGCATACATAAGATTTAACTGTAATCTTGATTAAATCACATTATATAAAAAGATGATGACAATTTCAATAATGTTGAACAACAATGAGGATACATGGATGGAACAGGCCACCGATCTTTAATAAGGTAGAACCCCATACATTTGGTGTGATGAGACTAACGATATATGTTGAAGATCTGAGGTTCCTTGCTTCTTTCTCCTTCGTGGAGAGAGAGAGATGAAGATCTCTCCTCTTTTTTGGGAATAGTTTTTTGATTTGTTCCGCCCCTCTGCTTCTTCTTCTCACATAGTTTATATACTAGATTTTCTTCCTTACCCAACGATCATTAACCATAGTACTTAAGTCATTTGACTATATTATGGGTTGACCCCTTGAAATGCCTTGATATCTAATTCACCTCTCAGATATCCTAAATACATGACTTCGGTCGTGGCCGAGGTGCGTGTCGTTACAACATGGTATGGATATGACAGTTCCAAGTAACTTTTCGTCGTCCCTTCCCACGCTGATTCTTATCTAGTCAGATTTTGAACCATACTGTTAGTCCCTCCGCTCGTTGGGGTCGCCTCTTGGCGAGCTCGATGGGCGAACTCTATTGATTCGAAAATTGGGAAAATTTTGAACGCTTTATGCGAGAGGCGAGCACCTCTTGGCAAGGTAGCGACGTGATGTTTCGAGAGCTACGTCAGACCGTTACGTCAGTTCAAAATGTCATTAATACTTCTCATGCGTCATTATAGCACATGTTCTCTATGCATTATGTCGTTTCCAGTGCCATTTCCGTTTTCTAAATGGCGATGTTTGGGTTTCCCGCTCAGGCCATTCATATCCCTATAATTAGGAGAGAATCTTTCATTTGAATGTTACGCTTCTCAATCGCTCAAGAGATTCTTGCAACTCTTCTTCTTCTTCTTCTTCAGTTTCTCATATTTCTGCTTCTGTGAGGATTTGCTGTGACTGCTACCTTTTTTCCCTCATCACTCTTGTTTCCTTTAATCAAAGAAAAGATGGTCAGTGCTTCTTCTAATTCTGATAGAGCTGTTGGTGCTCCGATGTCGGAAAATTATGTACCCCTAGTCGGAGAGGGAGTGGAGATGGTGGAGGATGGGGGTTTTCCGACGGTAGATGAGGTGGTTCCCCGCCCAGGGAAGGCGAGGAACAACTTTAATAGCCCTACTAGAGACGAGCCAGAGCCCGTTCTTTCTACGATGGATGTTTGCAGCGCTCACAGTGTTCAAAGCCAAATGGGGGATCCCTGATCACATTGAGCTGGTTCCTGTGGATCATGACATAATGCATTTACACCGTCTGAGCTACTGCATGTTTTATGCATATCCCTTTGTTATCAGGTACACGCTTCCCCTTCCTTATTTGGTGGTGGATTTCTGCCGCTTCTATGAGGTGCGTCCGGCTCAAATTTCTCCGTACGCGTACAAGCTTTTCCTTATGCTCATCAAGTACGCGGAGCTGGCCGGCCGAGGAATTTCTCTACGACACATGCTTCACCTCTTCGACCCCCATTTTCTTCGGGGTACGATGATTCACATGCGTCATCGAGGAACGAAGAGTTTGCTGGTAAAAATGGACGACAAGGCAAATCGCCGCTTTTGGGAGAGCTTTTTCTATATCCGAACAGAGCACGTCATGTCAAACCCTGTAGGTTTCCTGAGATGTCGAATTTCGCCCGTAGGTCTTTTTTTCTTTTTACTTTATGC